TGAAAACATAATACCAGAAGAGGAGGGGCCCAATTCCAAACAGAGCTCCTAAAAGTGAGGTCTTGGGAGTGGGTCTGAAATTGGGATAGACATTTGCTGATCTTGCATAGGTCCAACGAATCAAGGCAGGATCTTCCTAAAATGAATGAAAACAAAAGATACAGGAAATTAAGTTCTACACTAAGAAACAATCTCATCAGGACTTTTGTGGAGAAGCACAAGAGATGCCCTTTGTTCTCTTCTACAGTTAAGGGTATACCCCGAATATTCCTAAATAGCTTCAAAGAAGATCTTTCATTTCCAGTATCTGTTGAATAATTCTCTGATGATCCTGTTCAGAATTTAAAAGACTCATATCATCCTTCAGCTTCCTATTTATTTAAGATTTAAGAATCCTAATCATTTTAAGCTGTCAGAGAAGGCACTTTTTTTAAAATCATTTTTTTCTATTCTTTTCTGGATTGTTTTTGGCGTCACTGTCTTTCTTGAAGTATGACAAACAGAACCACACAGTATTTCCAATGAGGACAAACAGATTTCATATGCTCTATCATACTGTGAACTTTGTTTCCAGGACCTTTTCTAATGCTATGCCCACACTGGTCTCTCCTGGCTACAACTAAACTGCAGGAAGAGGAAGACAGAAGTAGGCTAACTCTGAACTTTACATTTTTTAGGCTGACTTGGCTGGTATTTTAAGAGCAAAATTATTACATTTCACATTATTAAAATAGTTTTTTGAAAGGACAAAGTTGTTAAAGAAAAATAATCAGATTGTCTTGGTTAAGAAAAAAGTAACTGTCAATTTTAATATATTTATACTAGAATAACTATGTAAAAATAGCAAATCTACCCCAAATACGTAATTAAATTTAATTAGCTAAATACCCTAATGATTTTACAAAATTATTTGCTCCAGTTAACTGATAGATAAAAATAAGCAAATGAAATCAGCTTTAAAACTTTAATACTAAGCTGTGAGAACATTCAAGGTTTTAACCAACGCCAAGAAGTCATGATTGGTAGGACATAAATAATTAAACTGGATCTTTCACAGTAACATTTTAAATCAAACTGTTTGTCAAACTCTTTGCAGAGAGAGTAAAGAAGGTGAAGACACAAGATACAGGTTCAAGGGGACATTTGAGCTCTATACCTGAAAGGATAAATACATCTATCTATTCTTGTATCTATCCCTTCCTGCTATTAATGCATTTGAATGACTCATGCCAGAATTCTCTACCAGTCACCTCTCTACACCTAATATCTGCCAGATCTGTCTTCCAGAAACAGACATTTCATTTCATAAAAATACCAACAGCTCCACGACCATAGTTCATTGAACTAGGTACTGTTGTTGAAAGAGGTTCCAAAACACCTGCCGTGGGAGACAGTTCTCCTTCCTTGACACCACTCCACATCCAAAGGACTATCAGCAGCATGTGATATGGTGAACACCACTTTTTTTTTAAATTTATTTATTTTATTTTTTTAGTTTTGGCTGCGCTGGGTCTTTGTTGCTGCACGCGGCACGGGCTTTCTCTAGTTGCGGCGAGCGGGGGCCACTCTTGGTTACAGTGTGTGGGCTTCTCATTGTGGTGGTTTCTCTTGTTGCAGAGCATGGGCTCTAGGCGCGTGGGCCTCAGTAGTTACGGCGCATGGGCTCAGTAGTTGTGGTGCACGGGCTTAGTTGCTCCGCGGCATGTAGGATCTTCCCAGACCAGGGCTCGAACCTGTGTCCCCTGCGTTGGCAGGCAGGTTCTCAACCACTGCGCCACCAGCGAAGCTTATGAACACCACTTCTTGAAATCATTTCTTCACTTAGCTTCAAGGGCACACACCAGCTTGGCTTTCCTCCTAACTCTCTGGCCATTCCCTCTTAGTCTCTTTCGCTTTCTTCCTCCTTATCTCCCCAGTCTCTTAATATAGGACCTCAGACCTTGTGGGTCTTTCCTATCTACATCCACTCCCTTGATAATCTCTAGTCACATGGTTTTAAATATCCACCTATAGGCTGATGACTCCCCAAAACTATGCCTCCAGCCCTAGACCTGTACCCTGAACTGCAGACATAATATCCCACTCCCTGCTCAATGCTGACATATTGTCTAATTGGCAAATTTGATGCCAAACATGATGTATCCCAAACTGATTTGCCAATATGCCATTCCACCTTCAAGATCCCTGATCCTTTCACACTCTTCCCTATCTTGGTAAAAGGCAACTTCATTCTTCACTTCAGTCAAAAACCTTGGAGTTATCCTTGAGTCCTCTCTTTCTCTTACACCACATATCCAATCTGCCAGCTAACTTGATTGGCTCTACTTTCAATACATAACCAGAACGGACCTCTTACCAACTCCACTGTCACCAACCTTGTAGCCACCATCAACTAAGAAATTAGATTACTGCAAAAGCCTCCTAACTAGTCTCCCTGCTCCTGCTTTTGCTCCCCCATAGTCTCTTTTCTACTAAGCAGCCAGAGATGTTGTTAAAATGTAAGTCCTGGGCTTCCCTGGTGGCACAGTGGTTGAGAGTCTGCCTGCCGATGCAGGGGACACGGGTTCATGCCCCGGTCTGGGAAGATCCCACATGCCGCGGAGTGGCTGGGCCCGTGAGCCATGGCCGCTGAGCCTGTGCGTCCGGAGCCTGTGCTCCACAACGGGAGAGGCCACAACAGTGAGAGGCCCGCGTATCGCAAAAAGAAAAAAAAAAAAAATGTAAGTCCTGATTATGGGACACCCGACTCAGAAAAGTTCTTTCAATGGCCTATGAGGCTTGGTGTGATCTAGTCCCAGGTAACTTTCCCATCTCATCTCTTCCTACTCTGCCCTCCCCTTTCTCCATGTTAGTCACAATGGTCTCTTCAGCATTTTGGGGATTAACCAGGCACACTCCTGTCGAAGGACCCTCGTATTTGCTGTCCCCTCTGACTAAAATGCTACTTTCCCAGAGAGCTGAATGGCTAGCTCCCTCCCCTCACTTCTCTGAGATCTTCAATGTCACCTTCCAAGTGAGGCCTTTCCCTGTGCCTTTCTAAAACTGCAGCTGCTTTCCCTCTCTACTATATACACACACTCCTAATCCCCTTCCCTGCTTTATTTTTCTTCTTATCAGTTCCCATTACTTAACATACTAAATGATTTAATTTTTTAACTTATTACTTGTCTTCCCTCTGGAAAGAAAGCTTTATGAGGACAGGAGTCTTTGCCTGTTTTGTTCTCCACTGTTACTGCAGTATCTAAAAGAGGACCCTGAGCAATTATTTATTCACTAAATCAATCATTCTTAGACATTAGGCAAAGAATTTCCATGTATTGCTCAATATATAATTGTCAGGCCCTCATTTACTTAACAGAACAACCAGTGAGGCTAGTGTAAAACCTGTTTTACACAGCAAAACTATAACTGCCCTGGGTCACAGAACTGGAAAAAAGAAAATCTGGAGTTTAAACCTCAGCTCTGTCTGACTCAAAGTCTCTCTCTCTCTTTTTTTTTTTTTACTACATCTTACTATCTAGCACATCAAACCCAATCGTGTGAGTATGTATACAATCAATGTCTCTGTCCTCACCTTCTCCCAAGTAAATGAGGTTCTGGCTGAAGACAATATAGCCAAATGGTTAAGAGATGCTTTGGGTTATACAGACTACGGTTCAAATTCTGCTCTATCCCTTGCTAACGTATATCTCTCTATGACATACTTGTCCTTCCCATGTAGTCTTTCTCATCTGTAAAATGGGGATAGTAATAGAGCTTAACTCTGAATAGCTGTGATATTTGAATATCATTCAGAAAGAGTTTCAATAGTGCCTGGCACACTGTAAGTTTCTTTCAATTCTCACAACTTCCTAACATTCCTACAGAACACCAATGCAAACTGTTGGGAAAAGTCTTTTTTCTTTTTTAATCTAAAAGCACACTTCTTAAATAATAATAGCTATCAGTTTACTGTGCATGTATTATGTGCCGGGAATGTTACACAGACTATCTCATTTAACCTCACAACGATTCTATAAAGAATGTACTACCGTTTCCATATATGAAAATTAGAAAACTAAGGTTCAGAAGGCTTAGGGATATTGCACAAAGTCATATAGTTTGCTAGTACATAGTGCCTTGGCGTTTGACTCCAAAGCCCAAAGCTTCAGCAAGCTGTAGGGTGTTTGGGTCTTTAAAAGATATAAACCGAAAAATCACTATATTCCCTTCAGAAGAGAGCAGTATTGCTATAAATGTGAACCGAAAAGTGGAAAACATCTTTAAAAAAAATACACACACACCCCCCATATTTCCTGAACACTCATCACAAGCCAGGCACTGTGCTAGCCGGTCACGTGCCTTATCTCATTTAATCCTCCTAACAGCCTCATAAGATAGGAAGTACTATATTATCCCCATTTTTCAGACAGGAAAACCAAGGCTAAGCAACAGAGTTGAACAACTTTTTCAAAATCACTCAGGCGGGAAGTGATCAAGCCAAGACTCAAACCCAGCATGGTGTGAATCCAGAACCAGTCCTCTTGACCACCGAGCTCTCTACCCAAGGTCAAAGGGCTAATGAACTGGCCTGCTCTCTGGGCCTGGAAGAGGATCCGTATCTAAAATACTCTTCGGGAACGGTGACCGCTCCGCGGCGTGATTCCCCTTGTCAGGTCTGAGCTGCCCAGCCCGACGGGACCGTCCCGACTCTGGCCCCTCGATTCCCACCCGCTGGCCCCTCACTCACGATGACCCCATGACGGCTGGGGTCGTTGTACTGAAGCAGGTACTCCCGTTTAAGCCGGGATCTTATGGCCAAACGCTCGGCTTGTGCCTTCCGAGTTTCCGGAGATATGTCGTATTCAGCTGGGTCGAGGGTAGTGGGCAGGGTCGCCAGGCGCGACGTCTCGTGCTTGGGGAACGACATCTTGGCGACCCGGCGCACAACTGCGCCTGCGCGATCCGAGGCCCGCCCTCTTCGGGCTGACCTTCGTCCTGAGGCAGTGCGCCTGCGCGTTAGCCAGAGGTTGAAGATGGAGTTTAGTAAGAAGTTCAGCCTCTTTCCTCAACCTTCCTCACGGTCCTGGCCCCCTAGTGGCGACCTGCGCAGGCTCAAGGTACTTTCCTCGCCTTCCCCCACCCCCCTCCTTCCCCTACCCGCCTCCAAATCTAACGCTTGTTGCTCCTTCCTAGCAGCGTTATCTCTACTGAAATACAGAGCTTATTATGTGAAGTTGAGCTGGCAGAGACTGAAAATGGGATTGACTGTGGAATTCTGATTCAGTGTGGGTTCATCTCTGCGACTTGCGACATGTCACTTAACTTCTCGGAGTTTCCTCTTCCTTATGCCGGAGATAATGACCCCTATTCTATTCACGTAGCAAAACTGTTGTGAGGATTAAAATAAATAATTAATAGATGCCAACATACTTTGCAAGGCACAATTTCTCTTCCAAGAAAAAGAAAATCAGCTTTTCTGTGCGTTACCATATTAGATCCATACAACATAAGCAGAAGAGTATTTTTCATTGGCATGAAATAATGTTTAATAGGAGAATGATGTTAGAAGTGTTCCCTGCCTGACTATAGGTCAGAAAAAAATGGTATTGTATAAACCTCGCAAAGAAACAATATCTTAGTTAAAATACTAAAACCTCTTATGTAAAATCCCTAGCACTCTTCAGGTGCTAAGAATAAAAAACATCCTTAGAGATATGAAAATAAGCATAAGGGCACTGTGTCTTGCTGTGAAAGATAATTTTGGGAAACAAGGAGTGTAACCTAAAAGGAAACCTTCACCCCTACTGTCCTTCTCCTTTCCCCACTATCACCACAGAAAAAGGGCAACTTCAAATTGTATGGCAGGGTCTTTGGGTACCAGTCAGACGCTCCTTAGGGGAAAACGTGTAAACAGTATTTCCATAACTCAGACAGGGAATGCTGGATCAGCTTGGGTGAAGCGTCTGGGGACGTGTAGGTATGTTGGGAAATGGTTACTAGGCAGAGAAGGGACCTAGAAAGTGTTGGCGCTTGAAGTGATGAGGAGCAGCACTACTGTCAAATTTACTCAACATTTTAATACTGTTTTAAAATATTTATTAAGCACTGGCCGCATGAAGCACACTGCACACTAGTCAGTCAATCTTCCAGGCTCAGTGGGGGAAACAACAGAAGAAATGAAGGACAAGATGTTTGTCTCTGAGAAGCTGACAATCAGGCAGTACAGAAAGAACAGACAGAATATGATAATATTTGCAAAGCAGTTTAATGATCAAATGAATATAGTAGCAAAGTGGGCTCAGGAGAATGCAGGCTGAGGGAATATAGAAAAAAGAAACTTGAGACAAATCACTCACACTCCATTTTAAAGGAGTGGGGGGGAAAAAGTTCTGTTTTTTTCTGAGGTGTTTAAACATATTAAGAAAATAAAATGAAAAGCAGGAGCAAGTTGAAAATTCTAAAGACTACTTTGATAGTTTCAAAAACCTTTTGTTAATAGATTAGACACTGATCAAGGAAGAAGGGCATGTTAAAAAAGAAAAGAAAAGAAAAAAGAAAGGAGTACATTGAGTACAAGCCAACCGACAAAGTTAAAAAAAAAGAGACTTTTTAAGTTTAAGAGAGGGAGAGAGAGAGACAGAGAAGAAACTTCATCATTTCGTTTTGGATGAGTTAAGGGGATTATCTCCACATTTGCTTTTTTTTTTTAATGAGTCATTTATTCATTTATTTATTTATTTTTGGCCGCGTTGAGTCTTTGTTGCTGTGCACGAAGGTTTTTGTCCGGTTTCGCGGCGAGTGGGGTCTACTCTTTGTTGTGGTGCGTTGGCTTCTCACTGTGGTGGCTTCTCTTGTTGCAGAGCGTGGGCTCTAGGCACGCAGGTCTCAGTAGTTGTGGCACGTGGGCTCAGTAGTTGTGGCTCATGGGCTCTAGAGCACAGGCTCAGTAGTTGTGGCTCGCGGGCTTAGTTGCTCCACGGCACATGGGATCTTCCCTGACCACGGCTCGAACCCGTGTCCCCTGCGTTGGCATGCGGACTCTTAACCACTGCGCCACCAGGGAAGTTCCTGCACATTTGCTTAATTATCATAAGGATCCCTTCAGATAACTGTTAAAAATATGAAGTCCTAGGTTTTGTTCTGCTCTTGTAGATTCAGAACTGGTCTTCAGGGAAACCCAGGAGTCAGTATTTTTTACAATTTCTTGAAGGGATTCTTACAATATTGCATGTTTGGGGAACATAGAGATGAATATAAGAGGTCTTCCTTTTCCCAGAAAAGGCCATCTTAGAATGAATCTATTTAAGATGGAGACCTAGATTCTATAGTGAAAGAAAAAGACTTGATTGGGACTTTAGCTTGAAACGGTGCAACCAATAAATTATGAAAATGAACTTATCTTGTATTAATACATTTTAGGTCACAATTACAACTGTGTGCTAATTCTGATAAATCAGGTGTTAATTTGTGGGGACATTATTTTTATGTAGCTCATCATGCTTCACTGCATTTGATTTTTTGCAGCAGGGTTATATTTACAAAAGTGCTGGAGGGCTTTGTCCTTTGAAACCAGATTATTTCCTTCTGAAGCACTGATGTTATCATCATTCTTATTCATTTTTCTCTTTTTCATTTGTTACCTGGTCCAGCTGTAAGATCCTCCTGTATTAGTAACTTTGCATGTGGCTCTAGCAGTTCACCAACATCACTTTCATCAATTTCATGAAATTCCACATCTTTTGCAAGATTTGCAATAGATTTCTATTGCATTCGAGAACTGGATATTTCCAAATGGATGACCAAGACTTTGATGGGGTGAATGTAGGCACTAGAGTTAGCAGATGGAATAATTTCAGTGAGCAGCAGTTTCACAGGTGGTAATATCATCAATGTATATTTCATGTTTTGAAGATTTTTACTTCTCTAAGAAATCTCCTAATAGAATTTATGAGAATTTATTGGATTACAGGGACTAAATACATGTATCTGTACTTGGTCGGAAGAGGGGGGATGAAGTGGTGAAGTGTAGAAGGAGAGAAGTGCATATATGCAGGGGTGGTTAAGCTATATAAATGGGGCAGGGTTTCAGGGAACAGAAGACGGACAGGTGAATACAGAAACTGTACGAAGCAGATAAGTTCCAGCTTGCAACAATATGAAGAACATTCCTTCTCTTAATTGAGTAGGATCATATGTATATTTGGGAATAAACTCTTCACTTTGGGTTGAAAATAAACCCAATGCCCAGAGATTTAATTAATCAGTGATTAACAGCATTTGACATTTAGTGAGTATTCTCTATTACTATTATTTTTTAAAATCTTGTCCTAACATTGAATGTTAGCAAAGGATATACTCTCAAGCTAATGAAAGGTCCCCTCTTTACAGGAGCCCTCTCCACTACCCTGGTAAGGACCCTAAAAATGTGTTCGCATGGTCATTCTGTTTTTGTAAAATTAGAAAATGTAAGCTATTTGAATCACAATTGCCTAAGACTGCTGTGTCTCTCCTCTCTGACTTCCCCCTTCTATCATATTTTTCTCCTGTTGGGTGGTATTGCGGTGGCCTTAGATATTTGGGGGATCTTACCAACAAAAATTGGGGTTTAGTAAGATATATTTATTTGATTCACATCTATGCCAGGTGGAGTTAAGTTATTGCTAGCCATCCAGGTACAGGATGGCTTCCAGGGATACTGCCATCACCTAGTGTGCCATGAAGGTTCAGGATCAGAGTTTGTACTGTGATATAAACTTGTCCTGTGAAGCCTGGCCCTGGAAATAATGAGGGTAGAGGAAGAGAACAAGGTTTGAAATAAACAGAACTAGAAGCTAATTTGTAGAATGTTCTTCTAGTCATCATTGAATCTTTTTTTCTCAAAGATTTTTTTCTCCCCTCCTTCTCCCCCAAATTATATAAACTTCAAATCCCATCAAACCTGGATCTTCCTGTTTGTCAGTCTTGTTAAGGCTGCAAGGAAGAGACTCAGAGTGCTTTGTGAATTAATTTATTTGCAAGGAGATCCAGGAACATGGGGGTAGCAAGGAAAGTCATCTCTTGTTTCGCATAGCTACCCTGGGAACTTGTCTTCCAAAACTGAAACGAACAGCAGTTCCAAGGGAGAATAAGAAAAATACTCCAGAGTTTTCAGAGTCTCACCTAAGCTCACGGATCCCACTTTCCCTTTGTTTATTACCTAGTGTTAACTCTTCCTTTAAAAAAGGATATTATTGAGTCAGTTTGACACTATTCAATTTAGATTGCCCCAAAGCACTACATGGGAGGTTGGCTTTCATTGTATCCAACTCATCTGTGGCTCTTTGACTTGGGCACTGTCCAAATTAGTCATGAATAAGATTACACAACTGTTTTTCTGTATCCCTAACAGATACACCTAGGTCAAAGAAGCTTATGGTATTTGGAAAAGACTCACATAGAACTACTATCTTCAGAAGCAGATTGTATCCAGAAGACACTTTGAGACTACACAGCCTCTTACAAACATACATCACTTTCTACTTGTTTCTACCATAGCTTTTTAATAAATCTTGATATTTCATGGGGCAAATCTCTCCATTTTATTATAGTTCACAATTGTCTTAGCAACTTTTTTTTCCTTTTCTCTTTCAGAAGAATTTCATTGCTATTGTTGTTTATTTTTCCTATTATATTTTCTAAATGGTTATTGCTGGTATATGGTAATATTATTGATGTGATGTTGGTATGCTAATCTTGGAACCAGTACCCTTATTGAACTTTTTACCAGTCCTATTAGCTTTTCTATATATTCTTTTCAATTGTTCTGTGTAGTCAGTCATATCTTGTGAAAATAGCAGTCTTGCCTTTTCTGTTCCAAGTTTTATACTTCTTTTTTTCTCTCTTATTGCATTAGCTAGGACCTCCAGGACAATATAATAGTAAAATCCTATCTTGTTCCCAGTTCTAATAGGAACTCTTCTGTTAGTTCACCATTGAATATATTTGCCGTGGGGTTGGTAGAGGCGCTCTATCAGGTTAATAAAGTTCCCTTTTATTTCTTGCCAAAAGTTTTTTAAAATAATAATGATTGTTTAATTGATCAAATGCTATTTCCACATTTCTTTTTTTTTTTTTTTTT